TGTGACTCTAAGGCACCATCCAAGGCATATGAGGCCAATAAGTAGGGGCCGGGTGGGGCCAGTCTGAAATTTAACAACTGGTTCGCCTGAAGTGGTCCGAACTGCTGAACCCCGCCACTGATTAAGCTTTAAAAAATAGGTCCCTATTGCCTGATAGAACAATGGAATTATAATTTGCTCAGTAGATTGATGTATCTTTTTAACGGAACTTCTTTTTAGTCTGGCAGATGCTCAAATATTGTCAAACACTTAATATGAAAAAGTGAACAACTTTCACATAAACAAGCAGGTTTCTCAATGCCTCTATTTTCCATTCAAAGAAAGAATTCAAGCTTATCACATTCCACCTGTCTGCCGAACTGAGCCTTGCATAAAATGAGAGCAAATTGATCGTAAAAGGCAAAAGCAAGTAAAAATAACTTGGAAAAACAATCTTTCCATTTTCCTTTCATTTGCCACTTCTCCTTAAACCCCTTAAAAATATGACAGAAGATATGTTTACTTCCAGATAAATTAATGAGTCGTACTACCCAGTGACCACAAAAGCTATTGAAAAAGGCAAAGAGAGAAAAAACGCCAAACTATAAACTGGTACATTTTGAAAAGGAGATCAATCACTGCACAAGATAAGCAAAATAAACCATGATCTCGTCAGACATCCAATAGACTGATATGATTTCAAAGGCTATTTCTTCTAAGCAAACTTTAAAATACTTTAAAAATAATAATCGTTTTAGTCTTCTGACCCCAAGATCTTAAGGTTGGTGACCTTCCTAGGCTGAAAAATGATTTTAGACTCTTTGTGGTGTAGTGTCCTCAAAAAGTAATTGGTGGAGACAGGAGAAAAGCAGCATTTGAGCTGAATTGATTTATATGTAAACCTAATTAAAATTAATTATATTTAGTTTGAATACTGTTCAATCAGATAGTTGGCGGGAGAAGGATAAAAAAATTGACTTAATTTCATTTACATTTAAACTTATGTAAAATTACATATTTTTAATAGGAGTATTCTCTGCTTAAGAGAGAGCAGTATTGCAGATTTAAAGGCAAAAAGGTTTCCTTGTAATAGTATATAGGTAACACCTGCTGGCAATTTCCTCAACCAAATATGGTTTTTCCCAGGATTCTGCAGGAGCAAAAGGAAACCACTTCCTTTTCTTTGAATCCAAAGCATGGCACAGATCTAATACCAAACCATGTCTCAATTATGTAAGATTAAAAATTAAAACATGCTGACAACTTTGCAGGGTTTGCAGGTTTTTGAATTCATGCTATATGTGAACATATGAGAAAATAAGACATCGAGAGTTGAAGAAAAATCCCCATTTATAAAATTTAACCACACTGAAAATAGGCAAAAATTTGAATTTTTAGTAGCTCATTTTTTACTTCAAATAATTAAAATAGTTTTAAGCAATAGCTTTCTAATTCTCTAATGATATAAAGTACGGGTATCAAACTTGCAGTGTCACATTGCCATCATGTGATGTTTCGTGATTTTTCCCTTCACGGACCTCGGGTGGGCATGACCTGTATGTGACCCATCTGGCTGATGGGCCGCCAATTTGACACCCCTGATATAAAGTAATATTCAATTGTCTTTAACAGTAATAAAATAGCATAATTCTATATAAAACAGAAACTCTTATTCATTTCATAGTTTATCTGTGATTACTAGAAGCTGCTTACTGCATACTATAATAACACAAATCAACAGAATAGGTTAGTTGTGATACAAAAGATTTTTAAAAGACCATGTGATGGAAGAGATTAGCTGTCAAAGTGTTATGTTTCTTTTATTAATGCAGCTCTGTGAAACTAAACAGCATGAACAATCTAATAACAAGCATTTTTGAATCCTCTGTAAGGAGCAGAAGAACCTCCAGTTATTGTTCAACCATCCCATTGGTCCATATATGGTTTGAAAGCACAATAGAAGGAAACAGGAAACTGAATGGTCCATCGGCATTATCTTATTAGCTGCTAATGGATATCAGAGAGGAATACACATCTAATTCTGAAAGGCCTGTACCAATCTCCCATGTAATAACTCTTAATTAGCAGATTCTGTTTACAGATGAAACTTAATGTACCCTTTTGTCTGGAAGAGATGCAGTCATCTTGAAAGAAAAATACAAATAAGTATTTTTCTTTCTGGTATAGAGCCATTACTATAATTCAAAAAATAAAAAATAGGATACTGATAAAAAGAACAAAGATACACAAAACCCTTTGGTTTCGATACTGAAAGTTTAATTTATAAGATAGTAATATCTTATATATATATGGTGTTACTAGAAGCATTGTTAATAAAACACTGTCTTCTCCAACTTGGCTTTAGATCAGCTCCCCTTATGTACTTATCAACATGGGTATTAATGTGCTGATAGACAATTCCTAGAGTGGACCATGCTGGAGAATATTTGTAGCTTAGCATTGAACTGTGAGATCCTTGGTATTCTCTGAGCTTGATGGTTTTCTTGAAGATATTTCATTACCAAACTAGATAACATCATCAGTACTAGAAGGGAGTGGAGTTTGCGCTTATTTTCATATACTAGTGGCTTACCCTATCAGTGTTGATCAGTTGCTTCACAAAAAGTGTTTTGATTGGTGTCAGATCTCTACAGCCTCAGGCAGAGAAGGGCTATTTTCTGTGAGTTCATACTTGCTCACTAAATCTAGATGTCACAAAGCAAAGCAAAGTCCACATTTGGTAATTAACCCCTGCGCCCTGTTTTGACTGGCAGAGTGTTGCAGAAGGCTGAGTGCTGTCCTGCCCTCTGGCATAGCCATCCTGGCCATACTCATCCAGCTGCTCATTAGGGCAGAGAACCAGTTGTTAAATTATTTGAATCCCACCACCGATTCCACCCCAACCTTAGTGTAGAATGTGGTATTTAAGTATTTGTGGAATGTGTATTATAACTTATTTCATTAAAAGATAATTTTCACATAGCTGATAGGTGTAGAATAGGGTTGAAAATAAGCTGGTTGACGGCTTTATGTTAATAGTGATGCAGTGTATATGTCAAGATCTGGTGCGGGAAATTAGATGACTACAAAAAATCATTCATCAGTTGAAAGAGTAGTTAAAAGGGATACGGTTTATCAATGTACATAAAGTTGTACATTTTTACATATTCATAAGCAATGTAGTTTGCTACATTAAATGTAGCTCCATTTATCGATATCATGTGTACTTACTATGTTCATCTTCTTCATTTTTGAACTACTATGTAATCTTACTTAAAGAAAAATTCAGAAAAATGGTAAAAATGTAATTAAATTTTCATTTCATACACTTCTCATATCAAATTCAGAGGCTCACATATTGCATGTCTTTTTTAAATTATTGAATCAGCATGGGAGAAAGAGAGATGAAAGTGGTGTGGCAGCACAGAGTAAATCTTATCTCTTTTGTACATGCACAGCACATACATTAGAAAAAAAAATTGGGGTACATTGCCACTTCTGAATTACATTCTAATTTTTAACAATGGCTTGGGAAGGGTACATCATATCACTGTGGTTCTACCGGCTTCCCTTGTATACCACATAGTGGTGCTACTTATTATCTAAATGATATCTCTACCTATTTACATTATTGTAGTAATATAAGATAAAATAACAATAAAATTGGTCCCTTTGTTTTCATACCAGTATTTTTTTTTTGCAGTAGTAGCAAATAATTTAGCAATACTAAATTATCTTAATATATTATGCATGTAGCATTTGTGGTTCCCTGTTAGGCAAAATATTGAGTAAGAAATTGTTGTTTTACCCTCCAAGTCATCATAATTAATTAATGGTTGTTCTTTCTCATGATTATTTCCTTATTGCTCTTTTGACAAGAAACTAAATAGAGATATAGTTTTTGAAATAGGTACATAATCACGATCAACTCAGTAGTATCTTTAGCTGATCTTGCAAAATATTTGTGTGATTGAAGTGTGCTTAAGCTCATAAATGAAGGACTGGCATAGAATATTAAAAAATAGTGCGTCCTCTATCCTGGAGAAAGACCGTTGGCTTATCTGAATGGTCGTTCTCTAGGCGCTGTGGAGTGTCCAAGCACGGGTTAACTTCAGCTTGCTGCCCAAGGAACTGAGTTTTAAAATTGATTGTAGCTCCGCCTCTTGNACCCAGACTGTGGGGGCAATTTGCTGACTCAATTTGCTAAAAATCTGTAAACCGCTTAGAGAGGGCTGAAAGCCCTATGAAGTGGTATATAAGTCTAATAAATAAATAAACAAACAAACAAACAAATAAATAAATAAATAGTTTCAATGTCCTTCATTCTGCAATCAAGAATGCTAGACATAATATGTCTTCTGTAGTATAGATTTTATAAGATGTGTACTAATCTAAACTTTAACAGATAGACTGCCTGATCATTCTGACCAATGGTATTTTTTTCCTAAACAGAGGAAACCTGACATCCTCTATACAATAGCTAAATTCTATACCTAAAACAAAAAGGGTTGCTGTACTCAAGAAGTGGATGGTTTAATCAATTAATTATTGTATTTTTAAATGGACAATAAATTCCAGCTACAAATGTAATAAACAAACCATTCTGATAAATTACCTGGTTACAAAAGCAATCTCATTAGGAGGGCAGTATCTGCTATAGTTTTACTTTTCAATAGATTCCTACAGCATGGGATCTAATTTGGATAAGTAGACATTAAAGCTGTCAGCAACTAAACCAAATATACATAATTATGCTTTGTAAATTTTTAGAAACAAATAGTAAAGAGATGATTAAATCCAGCACCACACCATTATTTTCTTGTTTTCTCCCCAGGTATTCCCTAGAAGTACTTTCAAGGGTTCTCAAAATTTCCTGAACAGATTTTGGATTGTTGTAGAATTTATTGGGTTATGGTAGATTCTCAACTCTTTGCTCTGCAAAAAAGAATTATTTGCATCAAGCTACACTGGATTTTATCTAGTAATTATTATAGAAGGTAAATTTTAAAATAAAAACTTACTTGCTGGTGAAGGAATGTTGTATCGATTGGTTGATGGATTGCCCTGAATGCTATGAAGAGTTGAAAGTGAGAGCCCTCCAATGACAGGAGGAAAAAGTAATGGGTATGGTGGTCCAGGGAAATGAGTCATATGTCCAGTGACTGTTGGTACAGAACACGCACGGCTGCTGGTTGTCATGATTATACCTTGAAGGGAAGAGATGTCCAGTCACTGCTCCATAGAACTCTGAAAACAGGATACCTAGTCTGGCAATACACTGTGCATTATTTTCTGAAGAGATAATTTCTCATTTTTTCTCCTTATTGAATTTTTCCAATGATTTTCCTGGTACATTCCTGCTGTAATTATTAATTTTTGTTTTTGTTCTAATATCACCACATATGGGGATGGCTGTTCTTCTGTTGTTCCAGAGGAACTGGAACTGTTGTTCTTTTTCTTTTTCTTGGAGCAATAGGTTCACTCTACAGCTAGTTGTGGAAGTGTTCTGTAGGGGACAGGAAAATAAATAGAAATTATAAATACTAATAACTCTGCAAAATAATCTTTTTGATAGAAGAAAATGTTTGTATTTCAGGGTTGAACTTTGGACTCCTTGGTGCTCTCTGAGCTTGGTTGTTTTATATTTAGACATATCTAGAAATGAGGAGAGGGAAGGAGAGGGAGAAGGAGGGGGAGGAGAGGGAGAGGGGGGGAGGGGGAGCTGAATCGAACTATGAATCACCTTTGCAAGCAGGGCGTCAAATTAAACATTCAATTATTATTTTTCTCTTTATTATAATAAAAATAAGAATTAACATTCACCAATTGTATTTTTCTTGTAACAATAATCTAATCAAACCATGATAAAATTAATGAATATAGAATCATTTTAATTTTCTTTTCCTTTTTCAAACAAAGACCATCCTGAGAATAATAGATGGGATAATAGCGGGAACTCAAATGGACATTAATAAACATTAACGTGAATCAGCCTCTCTGTCTGAAAAGTCTCATAGACATTCATTAAAATGATGTATATTTATATTAATTTTAATAATGCAATATATGATCATGCCTCTTCACTTTTACAGATAGAAGGTCAATACAGTGTTATCTTTTATGAATTCTAGTGCCCAGCAGTTTCATTATGATGCTGGCTTTCTTCACATTAGTTAAAACCTAAGAAATGCTAGTGAAAAAATACTCAATTTTATGCAAAAAAAGTATGATAGCTGGATTAAACCTCTATGGATTAAATCTCTATGAGATAACCTAGAGGTCACCTGTGTAAGTGTAAGGGTCAAATAAACACAAGCATACTTTTCCATTAATAACTACCATGAATGCAATGTTTTCAACATAATTGTCAAGAAGCTCTCCATAAGGCAAGTGAGCACTGAAAGTTAAATAAGAATTATAAGGCAATTTCAGCTAATGTTGGTTTCACAGTAGACCACAGAAGTAGAGCATCCAGAACAATAAAATGAGCAGAAAGGTCCCTTAACAAGCTATAATAATTGGTGTCAATGAAGATTAGTATCAGACATAGAACTAATAAGGAACTGGTCAACGGATTTCCTTTAACTAATTTCAAGGTTTTTAAAGACATAGATCCTGGGAATCACAAAATTACCACGTTTGGAAAAGATCAATTACCTATTAATCAGCTCTCCATCCAGTAGAGATATCCAGAATAAATAATGACAACAGATGCCGCTCTCTGCTTTAAGCACATCCAGGGAATGTATACAACTTTCCTAGGTAACTACTGGTAGTTCCATATTAAGATGATCAATCAATTTTTTCCTTCTGTATCATATCCAGCATTATGAAAAGATAGAAAAGAGATCTGGGATTTTCCTATGATCTTTCTGAATGTATTTGAAAACTCTTATATTTTATACCAATAGAAGAAAATATTTATAGCTCAGGTTGGACTGTGGAGATGCTCTCTGCTTAATGTTGTCTACGCTTGGTGATTTTCTTACAGACATTTTATTACCAACTAGGTTAATATCATCAGGACTAGATAATAACCAAGCTCAGAGAGCACCAAGGATCACACAGTCTTACTTTTTGCCTCTATCATATTTTTCATAAGTAGCTAGTTCTCTCAGCCTCTCCTCATTATTTTCCAGATCCCTTAATCACTCTTACTGCTTTCTTTCTTTGTTCATTTTTCATTCATTCTCTGAATCTTTTTTTACAATATGGAGCCCAAAACTGGTTACAGTATTCAAAGCAGAGCCTAACTAACACATTAAAAGTTAATCTGTTATTTCCTATCATTTTGGCAATATGCAGGTGAAACTCAAAAAATTAGAATATCATGCAAAAGTTCATTTATTTCAGTAATGCAACTTAAAAGGTGAAACTAATTTATGTGATAGACTCACTCATGACATGCAAAGCAAGATAGTTCAAGCCGTGATTTGTCATAATTGTGATGATTATGGCTTACAGCTCATAAAACCACAAATCCACAACCTCAGAAAATTAGAATGTTACTTGCAATCAATAAAATAATAGAACAATATCGGATCTCTGAAAAGTATAAGCATGCATATGTACTCAGTACTTGGTCTGGGCCCCTTTTGCAGCAATTACTGCCTCAATGCAGCATGACATGGACGCTATCAGCCTGTGGCACTGCTAAGATTTTATGGAAGTCCAGGATGCTTCAATAGCCGCCTTTAGCTCTTCTGCATTGTTCGGTCTCATCTTTCTCTTGGCAATGCCCCATAGATTCTCTATG